TGCTCCCAAAACACTTACTTGATCACTCATCGAGAAATTTAGGGTAATGTACAGCATCAAATGCAGGACTGGTAGATGCAACATTAATGCAAGATTGGTCAATATATATATATAGGACTTCTGGTCACTCGAAAAGTAGACCCATACCAAAAATAACTCTCCAGTGTTTCCTCCAGGAAATAATGGTCACTTGTAGAATCTGAATAATGATTTTATGCATATTATTTAATATATCCACGAAAGTTTTATCAATAATGTGTTCTTGCTAAAAGTGGTGAAGTACACCAGTCCGTTTTACAAAAGAACTTACGACTTAGACTAAATGTTATTTTAGGAATATTTTTACATTAATTTGAAAATTGATTTTAATCTTAAAAAAAAAAAAAAAGAAACATAATTATGCATGGAATTTTTTTTTTTACAGAATCATTTATTTTGCAAGATTTTACAATCAACTGAAGTTTTTGGACATGTCTTAGTTCTTTTGTAGAAGGTAATCAAGACGTATGTGTAAATCACAATCCTTTCGGTGATAACCTGTTGACCTCATAAGGCCTTCACAATCTTCATGTCTCATATGAATAAAATTTTCTGACAATGAAAACTTCGTGGATGGACAGATAGGATAGTAAACAGGTCAAAAATAACGTCCACGATTTTCAATCTTGTGACATGAAATACTTGTAGCTGCTCACTGAGAACTTCATGTTTTCTATCCATGTGCTGTTAAGAAAAAAGTCCTAATTTACACTGATTGGCTACAATGGAGCCTTGTGTAATATTTTGATGACCTTCGACGGCTTGGAGATTTTTTTTCTTTTTACTGATCACAGTTGATCCTTTCAAAAACCCCTTTATATCAAATATCAAAAAGTAATGAATGTTATAAAATTCCTAGGATCCAAATAATGAGTACTTATGTGGAAAAAGTTTTGGAAATTAATGAGAGATGCTACCTCATGAGTTACACTCATAACAAATTTATGTAAAGAAGTTATGTTTATGATGGAATGTTTTTCTAATCAGGATGATATCAAATCATTTTCAATCGATATGACATGGATGAGAAAATGGCATTTGTTTTCTTTAGATTATGATGTATACTTTAAAAACCATTATAAACCATCATAATCAGCTGAATATCAGTTTCAATGGGGGTGTTAAATTTTTTGTTATTCTTAATTAAACCCATGCCACAAAAGTTTCCTCTTGTTTACTTTAGGGTTTGTTTTCGATGTCTGTTTTTCATTTCATTACTGTAATCTTGTTTGAGTTTATCATTTAAAAATAAAAAATCTACAAATTTCCAAGTAAAACAAAATAATTTACATTACATCTGCCAAAATGTGAATGGATGTTAAAAGTGATAGACTTTTTAAAACTCACAGAGAGGCGTGAAGAGAGATATGATAGATTTAAGTTATTCTTTCAATAGATAAACTTAATCTTACTTCCCGGAACATCTTGAGTGTGCTGCATTAAAAAAAAGCTGTAATTAATGTTTAAAATACAAAGCATTCTAGCTTTTCAGATTTTATCAACATTTTACGCAACATCAGAAATCGTTCAAAGGATATAAGACTAAGTTATATAATTTAAAATTTATATATAATTTCAAATAAAAGAAGTCGGAATAAGCAAAATGAATAATTAATTTTGAAACTGTGTAAACCTTTGAATAACAAGTTTTTTCTCTAAGGCGCGGTTTCCGCAGAGATTTCAATGAAACAAACTTTTAACTTCTTTTTTAACAAACTTAAAAAGAGAACAGATGATTTTTTTCTCCAGACCTTTGTATAGTTTTCCTGTACGATAATTAATTTGTGAATTTTAGCCAATTCCTGGACTATTGAACCTTGGGAAGTTTCCAAGTTTTAACAAAACTAATTTTTGAAAACTGTCAAACTTTACTATACGGATAAAAGAAACTTGCATTCAGTTCGTAATTCTTCTCATATTTCTCTATTTCACTAGAATGGTTGTAATCCATCGTATCAGCAATCTGAAAATCATCTATTCTTCTGTCTCCAATAATTCAGGAGTGAAAAAAAGAATAGGGAAGATAACACGATCATCTGGTGCCAGATGACAAAGTAGGTAAAAGAAAACCATTGCCTTTGTAAGGCTCATTATAAATATTGTATTTTATACAACTTGGATTTTCCGATGTGGATACTTAAAAATTCCAAGGAACTTTTTTAAAATTTGAAATCACCAAATTTTACCAAAAATCAAATCTTACGAGAGTTTTCAACACTTTATACAACTACTCCATGCGATCATGGAGCTCGTAAATTTATAACCCTTGTCACTGGTCTTCTTCAATATTAAATTGTTAAAAGACATTCTGATTGTATGCAGAATTACTCTGAAGTTGATGTTTAAAAGATGCTTGAGTTTCTGATTAACAATATCTTTAACATGTAGTTTTTAGAGATCAATTCTTCCAATAATCTGTTGGAATTCCCACGGGCACAAATTGTGCCCCTCTATTAAACTACTTATATATTCTTGTATTCATATGAAGCAAAATTTATTCAAAATCTTCTACATGAAAATAAGTCTCTTACTGTGGCCTTCAATTCGACATTTAGATACATCGACGACGTTTTATCAATTAATAATATTTATTTCCATTCCTAAGTTGATTCGATATTTCCCTTTGAACTCGAAATAAAAGACACCACTGAGCCTGACACATCTGTTTCATATTTGGATAATTTACTAGCGGAAGACGTTAATGGCAAACTAACAACAAAACTTTATGATAATCGTGATGACTTCAACTTTTCTATCATTAATTTCCCTAAATTATTTGTGTAGCAACATACTATTATCATCTGCATATGGAGTTTATGTCTCCCAGTTGATTCGATACGCAAGAGAATGTTCTAAGTAAAAACAATTTCGTAATCGAGGCAAGCTTTTGACAAATAAGTTGATGATACAAAGATATCTACAGTTTCGTTTAAGTCAACATTTCGCAAATTCTATGGTCAACACAATGGCCATGATAGCAAATAGAATCTGTCGTTAGGTCGAATGTTGACTTTTTTTCCACAAAAATTGTTAGGCCATTATTGTCACACTGAATTGTCTATGGATTTTCTCGTTTGCCGAGTCATGACAGGAGCACTCAGAATGTGTAACCGGTAGACAGGGGATGCTTATTCCTCCATGGCACCTGATCCTACCTAAGATTTTTTACAGGTTTGCTCTGTTTTCAATCTGTATTGTTCTAATGGAGTTTTGGGCTTGATTACAGTTCATTATCTTCGTATTTAATTCCTTTTAATTAAGGTTAACTCTGAATAGTGTTTTGGTCAATTATTTTCGGATATTCACTGATATACCCCTGAATACATTTGCATAGGAAAATTCACGTTTTTCGTTTAATAATGTACAAATAAGCGGTTAAGGTCTCTTAGATGGATCAAAATATTTTTTTAATCTAAATCTTGATTGCACACAACCACTCTTGAATTTATACAACAAATTCCAAAATTTTGCACTATACTGAAAATCATTTTTTTAAGAAAAATATTATTGATTTTTGTTACTCATTGAATAAATTGCATTTACTTGCAATGCATCAATATCATACCAGTTTGACAAGTAATATAATAACATGGTATCCTCTACAAGTATCAGACAAATAGTACTAAAATCGGTTAAAAAATCATTAAACAAGGGGCTTACCATCAATTTTCCTCATGCAAGGATCCCCAATAATTAATTTAGCCTTAACATTACAATCATATAGCAAACCCTCATAACGGGAAAAGGTAAATTATTATGCAACATTTGATTTTGCCTGTATCCTTGCTCTGTCCTTTGTTAATTAAGGACAATGTTTTATTTAAATAATGTCAGAACCACCTGATGTGCTCAAATACAGATTCATCTTTTAATCGATTGAATTTACGTGGAAACGAGTTTGCTAATAATGAAAGACTATCTAATGGAAGGAAATTAAATACAAATAAAAACATCACAAAGATTCAATTTGTACAACATACTTCTAATATTTAACGTAATGGAATGTGGATAGGAAACTGTTTTTAAAGTGTATGCACAAATTTATATACTTAACCAATTCCTTATAAACATAGTTTCCAAGAAAAAGGGACTATAGATATTGTTCAAAATTTTAATTTTTAAGAGACTTCTAAGTTACTTTTGATCTGGTCCTGTCCTGGAATATTAGGCAGAAAAAGGGAAACTGGATTTTTCAGAGCTACAACTTTGCAGGGTTCTCATAGGGAATTCAGATAGATAGGAACAGTAGCAAGAATAGCTCAGGTATTGTTTAATCATGGAATGTCAAGGTCTATCAAAGGGGTCCTTGGGGATATAAATGTGGTCCTTGCAGTGGCTTTTCTTGTGTACCACGGGTCAGTACACTTTATGGATTTTCAAAAGTTATTGATGAAAAAAAAATATAAACCGATACTCTTTCTTACTCCTCCATGGCACCCAATCCCATTTCTGTGTTGGCTTCGCTCATAACTTGTATTGTTTAATTTGTATTATTTATATGGACTTTTGAGAATAATCATTATCTTCACATTTCATTCAAATATATAGGGGAAAGCTTCACTAGAGTAGAACTAAAGTATTTTTTTTTATTTATATATTTATTTTAGATTTCATCTTGAAGAAAATAGATATTGCAGCTGATCTATGGCTTATGTTGAATTTCCTTACGTAATGGTTGGTTGTCACAAGACTGAAGTGTCATATGTAGCAGGTCAAAGGTCTACAGGTTGATTCCTTCCATTATAACAGAGAGTTCGTAGCTTTATCGTTTAAAGAACCTGCAAACCATTTTAGCTTCCTATTGTAAGTAACTACATATAACTTCTAACACTTCAGAATCCAAAAGCTTTCCAAAGTAAAATCATATTCTATGTAAAAATATGTGAATAAAAAAATAAATTCAAGCATTTTTGTGGTTTCTTGCAAAGTAAAACTTTTTTGTGCATAATCTGAGCCATTACCTGACATGTCGTAATTGCAGGCTCGCCGCGCCTCAGTCGATCCGCCACAGGTTTTGGTATCATCTGATAGAGAAGGGAGTCTGTTCTCTTCATCTCAGCATCCAGTTTCTTCATGCTCTCCTCGAGAATCTTGCTTTTCTGTTGCTCCTGTTGAAATAAATACATTCAATTCAATTTTTTTCAGCATTAAACGGACTTGATGTTAAAAATAATCCACAGTACAGTTGTTTCAGGAAACAAAACAGTTTTAATTTTTGAGAAAGGAAATGAAAAAAAAAGGATTTTAAACAACATTCCTAAAAACATGTTGTTTTTACCCAATAATTTCAATAATTGAAGAATAGTTGACTCCATGTAAATTTTTCTATGTATATTACAGTAGTACAGAAATGTACATTATCGCATTATGGCAACCACGCGTCAAAAGAAATAAAATGTAACAAATTTTGTTTGTTTATTCCGTTTATTGTAGATCCTAGAATCCAGAAATAATTAAGCTTTCTGATTATCGAATTTTTTTTACATTGACTATCAAGGGCTTGGAATGCTGTCTCACAACTCATCCTTTATTGAATTACAGAGCGGGATTTTTGGATAGCTCGATATGATATATAATAAAAGACAAATAAAAAGTTAATAAGAATGCTACATGAAAAGATAATACGGTTCACAATACATGAGCTACTGAACAACTTTATTACTGAGGGAATTATACATGGAATAATTTTCAGTTTCAGGTCCACTGATAATAATAATATCGACGACATGTTATACGATTCGCTGAAATACAGATTCACTTCTTTTACGACTCAAGATAAATATTTTCCTTAAAAAGAAACAAAAATAGAAGTGCAACCTTGGTCAGAGAGTTCGATTGAGGATCGTCATGCAGTTATTTTATTAACTGCATATCAGCAATAGACGATGTCAGAATGAACTTTTTGTGCTAATTATCATAAAATTAGAATGCTATTCTATAATGGATAATTGTTATCTTTTACGCTGAAAGATGACATTTTCACGGCTTTTGTGCATGTATAGTGCAGTACCTTAAAAATAAACTTCCTTTTATCTCCAGAATTTGCTGCAGGATATTTTTGAACTTGTTTACTAAAAGGATCAGAGAGAGCAGGGGTAGAAGATACAATCTTCAGGCAACTCCACGCTTTCGTTCTTTGATGGCTGTTAATGAACTTTCTAAATGCGTTTATGTTTACAAGAATATAATTACTGGTAATTGCTGTAATGTCAATGTTGCATTAGCAGCGTGTACGCTAAGTCATTAACTAGGATTTCCCAGAATGAAAGATACAATATTGGAAATTCCCTTCCGATCGTATTGCTTATTCATCGTCTTTAAAATCTTAAGTTGTTTTGTCAATAACAGTGCATGATCGAAGCTGTGTCAAGTAATTTCCATGGATAAATGAAGATGCTTCCATTGAATAATTTCTCATTCTTCTAAATATTCCTAAAATAATTATACTCACTACAACTCATTGTCAAAGAGAACAGAATAAATTGTTTCTTTGGCGAGCTCTCGTATGTGAAGGTTCACTTAAGTTCTTAACGGATAATCTATCTCATCTATCCAAACAAAACCCAATTTGCATAGATTTTAATTACAGAAGACTCGTTATCTTGAAACAAGTTTGGAATAACCTCAGCAAAACAAGAATTGTTGAAGATTTCAGCTGTCAAGATACGAGAAGTCAATATCATCAATGTAACAAATGTCACAGTAATATTAGACCTTATTTAAAGCTGTACGCTAATGGTAATATAACTCAACCATTCAAATGTTTAGACAATCGATTGAAAAAAATATTAAAAAGACGGGAATAAATGAGACAACTGTAAGTTTAATCCACCACTAGTCAACAGAAAAAAAATTACTCTTCTATGCAAAAATTTACTTAGTTGGACTTTTAAAATGCCAAGACTGAGGACACAAACAAAAAAATGGATGCATGGATTGGTTTATATTTTTATGTTTTTTTTGGTTGTTAATGATTCAAATATTATTGATTGAGTGAATTTTTCACTCATATAGACACGTCACTCTATACCGGTGAAGGGTTTCATATTTAGACCAACTCGGCACTCAGGGACATTGACCAGTGAGGGTTCTTTATGATGTCAACGCCTACCGTGACATGAGATCTCGTTTTTAAGGTCTCATCCGAAAGACCCGCAACTTTCACTTCTAATCCTTGGCGAAGGAACAATCACTACCTATGTTTACGTCTTAGGTTTGACGCAGCGTGGCGAACGAGAATCGAATCCAGGCCTCCCGATCACAAAGCGAACGTCATACCATTAGGCCATACCAAATAATTGTAGCAGACTTTCTATGATGTTCAATTTTCTTCCTTTTGCCATTTCCTTTATAAATCTATACGGTTTTTTTTTATTTTAAAGGATATTATTGAGAAACTTTGAATGAAAAATGAAACTGGGGAAAATTGTTCATTTTACATACATGAATTAAATAAACATAGATTTAACCATTCACTTCTTCTTATCCAAAAACAAAAAAAATTTAAGTTGTAGATATTTTTTCTCTTCAAACTGACCTGGTCCAGAGCAAGTTTAAGTTCTGCAGACTGCTGGGTCCCCGCTAGGACCAAATCTCGACTAGAGTCATGCATACTGAGATCATTAATATACAAGCCAGTTCTGAACATTGCATCAGGGTCTTCCAATCTAATATAAAAGAATTAAAAAAAATATTGAATTTGACTAAATGATTATTTATAACAAATACATTGTTTCATAGGAGTAGAAAATTCTAGAGAACTTTAAAAATAACATTTAATTTAATCATCTGGCACTATGCACATATTACATCTGTCTATGAAACACACACCGAATCAAAGATGGTTGAAAATAAATGTGTTTGATTGGATAGAACCTTACATGGGCGTGGCTAGGAATATTATACACTCCCACTCCATCATGTACATCATCTGACCCTTCAGGTGAATGTGATGTCCATCATCTTCGTCCGAGGATTCCTTTTCGATACTATCCTTTCGGACCTCCTCTTGTTCTAAATAGTGAATCTGATCATTAAAGTCTGATCGGTGTGAAATTGATAGGGATGACCCTTAAATTTTTGATACATTGATATCTCATCCATTTGAGATTTTGAAAAGTTATAACATTCTTCTTTCAAAGAAAAAAAAACTTCCAACATAATTTTCATAAACCTTCCCTTTACTTGAGATTTTGCTCATATTTGAGCACAGATGGAAAAAATAGATATCATTTATAGTTTTAAGACCTTGAATAACCTTGATTTTACAGACAAATAGGGTAAAGTTCACTCATTTTGTTGTATTTCTGTCATTTGGCATTCATTTTTACCATTGTCTCCGGTAATTCCTGTGAACAGTGAACTAGAGTAAGTTTTTTTTGCTGTGTATTTTTCTGTATTGTTATAAGAGAATTACAAACCAAAATTTATTTTCTGTGTCATATAGTAAATCCTCCCCATACTATCACTCCAGAAAAATTACTGTATGTTAAGCCTTCCATCACAAGGGGAAAGTTTATTTCAACATAGTAAACCTTCCCAAGGTGCAGATCGTATTATATGGCAATATATGCTATCATAATTAATGTTCACCTTTATGCTAAAAAGTATTGTGATTAATATTTTCACCTCTGTAAATTTATTGATGATCAGAAAATACTTTTTTTTTAAGTTTTATAAAATAATCTTTAATCATTTTTAACAAGGAGAAAGCTATCAAGCTGAGGGTAAAATTGTATTTTTCACATAAATTATAAAAAAAAAAACCTTTCTATTCTGAAAACTGAAGGAGTTCACAACCCAACAATATCAATGTACCCTATGGACATATTTTGCATAAAATTACAAATTAAGTTCAACAATTGGTATTGTTCCCATAAATGTTTAAAAATCAAAATCCAAGTTCAATGCACACATCTTATATACATGTACATGTATGTATAACTGATCTGCAAAATAAAAACTTCTTATCTTGAAAACTGTAGGAGTTATACGGACAATTTTAATGATGTATCCTTAAAGCAAAATTTTGCACAAAATGACAAAGTTTAAAAACTTGTATTTATCTAATTAGTAATTATCAAAATACGAATTCCATGCATATTTCGTAAATATGTACAATTAATCTGCAAAACAAGAACTTCCTATCTTGAAAACTGTAGGAGAAGTTATTCGGACAAATGACCTGATATGCATTATTTGCATAATAATGACTAAGGTCAAAGAATGGAATCTTTCTCATATATTGTAAAAAATCAAAATTCATGTACTATGCACATCTCTGATATATGTACAATTGATCTGCAAAATAAAAAAATCTTATCTTGAAACTCTAGGAGGCGCTATCCGGACAAATGATATACTCAAAAATACATGGATTTTGAAGAAAAAAAAACTATTAATAAGTTCAACAGCTGGTATTTTACTCATTAGTCATCAAAATCCAAGTACTATGTCAATTTCTGATTTGTGTACAATTGATGTAAGAAGACTTATGCATATCTCTTTAATATGTAAATTTATCTGCAAAACGAACATTTCCTATCTTGAAAACTGTAGGAGAAGTTATTCAGACAAATGATGTACCCTATATGCAAATGACTAAATTCAACAAGTGGTATTTTTTATCATAAATAATCGATCTGCAAATTAAAAGAGTTCCTAACTTGAAAGGAGTTATCCGGACAAAAGATGTACACTTTTGAAAGCCCCTCTCCCTTTTTCAGCATTTCAATAAATATGACCGGATTTTTTCTATGGAAAACCCAATTAAAACTTACTAAGAAATCTTAGTACCCAATTCCTTTCAAGATCACAACAATTATTTCATTAACAAAATGTGAGAAAATTTGCAACTTCCAAAACAAATCATTTTTTGACAATGGATCATTCAAATACCCCTTTAACCATAATTTCATATATTTTAAGGTAAGCATATAAAAAGAATACTAGTATTACAAAATTCCTTGATTTGGAATCTTGTATATTTATTTGATTGTTAACAAGAATTAAAGCGCAATAAATGTGAATAATTATCCGGATTAAAGGGAACATTAAACTGTTATAGTAAATATTTACTATCCAAGAGGGAATGCTTGCTATTTGGTAATCTTTCCCCCAGGGAAATTTTACTATGTAGTAAAGTTTCCGAGAGGAATGTTTGCTTTATATGGCAATTGTTTCGATGGGGAGCTTTACTAAAAAGTAAACGGTTTGCTTTGAGGAATGTTTACAATAAGAATAGGGGGAAGGTTTGTTATGAGGAAGGTCTATTACATGACGCCGGTGAATTCAAAGTTTACTACAAAGCAGTGCGTACAAATAAGTCACTTACATTACTGAATAAAGTATTTTAGCAATATTCTATTTTCCCAGTAGTGTTGACCTTTTTGCATTAATATCGCTAAGACTCTTAATTAAACCTTAATATACATCGTGAGGAATACAGAAAAACATAAATCTGTATTCCAATTATTTTTGACTAGATTTTAGTGAAATCCTGTCTCCTTCTGGATGTAAATCATTAAGCCCGGATTAATATCTTATGACAATGTTATTAGGTATTCCATTATTAGTGTTCTGAAGTTTGATCGCTTGATAAATCACAAGAACTAAATAATAACTTATACAATATCTTTCCAAAATTAAAAACGTGTGATAAAATTAGTTTTCAATAAACCGAGTTTAATCAGAAAACTAATGGAGATGCGATTTTATTAAATCAAGACAGTTCTAATATTTGTATGAACAATGACGCTCAATGAAATATATTACAAACAGACAGAAATCTACACCAATAATTGAAGAAAAATTCCTCAATACGCGTGTGTATTACAACAGTATTTCAGTTCAGCTTAAGAAGCATTTTCAACTCTCGCATTGACATAATCTACAAGGCGTATTTTCATTATTGAAATCAGGGTTTCTTTATTTATTCATTTATTTTAAATCTTAAACATGCTTCAATTTTCTAAAGTCAACAATTATTTCACATAATATTCACTACTTATTTGCGGATGATACAAAGATCAATTTGACGACTTTTCATAATTCCTCAAACTCTCTAAATTGTAAAATGATCTATTGCTATATGTTTATGGCGGTAAATACAATATTAATCTTTCAGATCATTTAGTTGTTTTTTAAAGCTATGGTTGACAATTAAAGGTCATCTGGCCATCGTGAAATAAAGCCATCTGAAAAATCCTTTGGTCTAATCTATTTTTGCATCAAACATATTTTTTCTCCTCAGTGGCAAAGTGAAGGAACAAAAAAACTTTTGGATTTATTGCATACTTTCTAATTAAATTAATGTCTTGTTCTTGATAGATTACATATTTTTGTATGTAGAAACATACTTAAACAATAAGGACACAATGTTCATCCTGGTCTCTTCCCTATAAATAAAAATAATATGTGGTTTAACGAAAACTCTTCTTATGGCCACCATGCAACATAAGTTTCATTATTTCAAGACTTTTTAGGCTTGCGTCAAGTTTACGCTAAATGGGGATTGGATATATTCTTATATATTTTCATGTAAGAAAAATGACCTCTTACTAACACCCCACTCTAATTCCAGAAACATGATTTGAAATTAAATAATAATATACACTGTACAAGGTGCTAGCATATAAAAAGAATAATTGTGGAAATTCTGTTTTTGAGGAGCTGGCTTTAAGTTTTTTTCTTAAAACTTTGATTTCCTATTGTGGTTTCACTTTAGCCCCAGAACCACTATAGTCTACACTCTCTGAGAAAGTTTTCAAATTAATTATGTTTTCCCTGGTCCAGTGATTTTTGGAAAAGAAAAATAAAAACCCTCATGTGTTTTAACTAATGCTTGATTGAAATCTTTCCTTAATAGGAGACGTGGCCCTTCATTTGAAGAAGACTGAATCATCAACCAGGATGATATTTGCACTTTTTTGGTGAAATTGGTTCACTGGTTCTGGAGAAGAAGGTCGAAAATGAGAAAGGATAACAGACGATACACTCCAGACAGGCAAACGGACGGTTAGTCAGAAAGACGTATGCCAGATATTCTTCTATCAGAAATACTTGGGTGAGCTAAAGTTCATAAGTTGCATCAAAAATTCTAATTCAGCTCTAAAGTGTTTATGATCTTGATTGAAACTGAACTAGTTATACTTGGCAAATATAAATAAAAGCTTGCGTTTTAGGAAACTTATAACCACTTTCACGATAACTTTAACGATGCTTTTTGCAGGGAAAATTGATATAGTTTGGCGAAGTTTTAGTTGGCAGATAATTGAATGATGTTTATTTAACAATAGCTGTTACGTCACAATTTCATTTACCGGGCCTCGGTTATCATAAAGCAGTCTATTATGCACAACTTCGTGACAGTGATATGTTAATTCCCTTAATTTCGCTATCAGCATGGGAACAACAAGACATAAAATATTTTGTTTTTCACCGATTTTTAAAAAAATTCCTTGTCACTTAGTGTCCTTAATTAAGGATCGTCAACCTTCTGATAAGAGAAATAACTCTTCCTTGGATAAATTTCTACTGTTTCTTTTAAAAAATGTCAAATAAAGAGGTCATTTACATGACCAATTTTGCATCGCAAATTATACTGATATTATTCGCATTTCAATTATAATTGAGATTTCTTTTGGAAAATCATTAGTACCGCATTTAAGCAATATTTTATTTGAATAAACAGAGCGATAATGAAACTTAAAATAGCATTATAACTCACCACCCGTTCCATTACTACTGAGTGTGTCTGAGCTGCTCAGAGTACGTTCTTTCTTTTCTTCTTTGCCGTCTTTTTTAAATGCTTCTCTCGCAATTTCTTCAAAAGGGCATCCTGATCTCTTTAGAGATTTGTGAGATTTCAATTCAAACACGTTGTTTGTGTGTTCTAATATCTACAATTTAAATTGTGTGTTCCAATATCAAACTAAAACTTTTTTATATGCTAATATGAGCAATGTTAGCTCAAAGGCATCGATACATGTGTTGGAGGGATAACTGATCTTTTGGATAAAATGATACAAATCTACATGCATTTCATCTTTTCAGTACGCACAATTACACTAAAATGTTCATGACTTGGGCCAAAGTGAAATTAAAAGTTCATTTAACATACCATCTACGTCATCATGATCAGTACCATAACTTAATTTTTTTTTGTAAGTTGCCCGTTGAGTTGTGATACCATGCAAAAGCGTTTCACTCTTTTTTACAATATTAACTGGAATTAATATTTAAGATTTGGAGCGTGAGTCAGAAAAGGGTTGAAATATTTTCATATTGATAAAGTATGGACTGGTGATTAAAATAGAAATTAAGTATACATGTATTGATTGATTAAATTTCACTCTTTGAAGGAAATCAAATGTCTTTTTAATGAACAAAGTTTTGAAAATTTATTGAAATCAGACATATGCGTAGTATAGGTCATTTCTAGGTTTGGTCTTTGCCCAAAGAAACATGAGAGCTACGAGTTGAGATCTTAAAAAAAATTGTTTTAAATTGTTACAGAACACTTTTTTGAAATTTTCGCAACATTTTATTTTGCTATGCTTTACTTACCTTATCCCATTTAAAATCAATGAGTGGACGGGTCAATGAAAATAACGTATTAAGTTTTTGTCCTTTTGCTGTTGGGAAGACTGCCGCAATCCCTGAGCCGATTCCCTTGATTTCAAAACTTCTAGTAAAGACAACATGAAACGGAAAGAGGTTAAAGAACATCCCGCTGTTCAAAGGAAGAGTGTTCGAAGCAAATGCTTGCTGCTTCACTAATTCCTCTTTATAAGCGTTATTTTCAAAATGTAACCTAAACACCACATGAGTAGTACTTTCTTGAATCTCTACACTGACTACATCTATGACGATTTCGATTTTGTAAAATAGTTTTCCTACTTGTCGAATTTGTCCTTTAACGTAGTGTATGAATCCTTTTCTCTTGCTTCTGTAATGAAGTGTCAACCCGCTTGTGCTTTCGTTTGTGCAAAAGAAAGATGGTGGTTTCAGTTTTGGATAACTGAATCGTAAATATTCATGGAGATTGTCTAGTCCATTTAGGAAATCCCTCATGTTCCTGCCGAGAACACTCAAGATTTTATCGTAACCATACTGACCAACAAAACATACAAACGACACACCGAAGGCGTCCATTATATCATCTTCGTTAATATCCAAAACGAGAGAGCATGCGCGTGCAATGTCAGGTATGATTGTCTCCGAGTACCTCTTGTGGGTTGAAAATGCCATCGTTTCCACACGAGCCAATTTGCGAATTTTATCCCATGCATCCTCACCATAGGTTTCTTTAATGTAATTTTCAACCGATTCTAGCAGTAACCCATACATTTTTTTAGAAGACTTTACGTGACCAAACACGTCATCTGTGTTTCCTCCAGGACTATCTTCATTCCTGAAATAAATATACATAAAAAGATATGAGGATTGTTATGATGATGATATTTACGATGATAATTTTTTTTTCAAATTAGAAAATCAAGGTCTATCAAATGTAAAAATAAAACACAACTTTTAGACATTTAAATTATTTGTTTTTCTTACTTAGATAGCTTCGAGTTTTAATATAAAAGCATATTCTTATGAAATGTCTTTAAATACTTACGAAGCAGACGACATTGGACTAGACCTATTCATTTTCGACTAAAGACTAAAGTTTTTTGACTGAGGTTTAAAAAAAATCTATATCCATAAAAAAACAAAACAAAAAAAAAAATGTTCACAGAAAGTTGATCCGTACATTTTGCATTAACATTTATTTTACGACGATCAATTATAAATGCTTTTGCATAAAATACGATGGAAGCAGGTCTTTTGGAGACAGCTGATTCTATATATTGTTTCTAATGCGACAACGGAAACACGTGATCTTGCAATTTCTCGAACGTAGCGTTGGGATTAGCGACAAATGACGAATAACCAATCGAGGTAGAAGACAAATTTGTAGCCACTAACGACATAAATTCTGGAAACAATTGAGATTTCTTTTTTGAATAATGAGTCCCGTAGTCAATAATTAAGAAATATGTACAAAAAGAGTTCCGGAATGGCTAAGAGTTATGCATTTTCATTCATTATAGGAATTTTAATTTGGTCTTATATAAGGTTGTCCGCTGTGCCAATTTTTCAATTCATAATGGATAATGCAAAAAATCGCAATCCTTTTAAAAAGTCATGTCTAATTTGTGTGGCAAATCTCAAATTTATTTTTTTCAAATAGGTCTATTAGCCTTATTTTACCAATATCTTTAAAACAAGAACAATGAAAATATTTTAAATTATTTCAAACTTTTAATAGATGGAGTAAAATATCAAATTATCAATATGGTCCTAATTTTAATTTTTAAAGGGGGATTTCTCCAGTATGGGTGGTTAAAAGATTAGAAGTTTCTGAGGACAAAAAGACTTATTTGCTCCAAAGCTCAATTAAAAGACCTTTAAAGAATACGAAAGGTCGAAAACATCCCACGTCTTGTGGTATTGCAAATAAGACAAAATACAAAATTTAGAAAACAATAATATTACAGTACAAAGGTCATCAAATCAATTTGAAAAGTTGCTTCCCAATTAAACTGAAATATTGGTATTAAGAACAAGTATGAACCTTTGAACATTAAAACACGAATAAAAAGTATGCCTAAATTTTAACCCTAAGAATTTATTTATATTTTTACTCGTGGGAAAGAAAAGCTTTAATTGCAAAAATAAATCACATCTACATCAAAGTGACTTTCATATAGATTCAGGTTTTGTATCAAAGACGTCCTTTTTAGGAATTTCGTAGTAAAACGTGTGCTTTGATGAGAAATTTATCATCCTCATATACTGAAACACGTTTAGAAGTTACGAGAAAACATTGGTAAAAGACCAATTGCAGGGACGTCATAAAGCATCTCTTAATGAACCGAAACAAGAGTGATTGCATGACACCAACTACTTAAATACTGGCGTGAAGATGGAATAAAACTGCTGATTGCTGCACATTAACACATTTACAAACTGTAGACATTCATTAATTAAGGCAGACAACAAAGCACAGCGGAAAAGACGCGAAAGACAATCGGAAATTTTCGTCGTTATCTTTCATCGTGCATGGCACTGGTTTACACAATGCATACTTTTTTGAGTTGAAAAAGTTCAAAGTAAGCAGAACTCAACATCATTAGAAGCAAACTATCTTACTGGTTAAATTTGAATAAAATAGAAAATTATCTCTGATTGAGTCATATATAAACAGGAACAAATATATACTCACAATTTTTTTTTTATTTTCTAATTTTTTCAAACTTCGTCGAACAAGATATACTGTTTAATGTGAATTCCTTCCTCTCGTCACAAATGAAGACAAAGGTCCGATTCAGCAGCTATAGTACATCATTTTTATTCATCTCATCCTGAAAAGTTTGAAGCTGCACAATAAAACATTCATCAGAATTTTCAGCAAGTCATGAGTGAAAAATTTAGAATTATCAGTTTAAAAAACGTGCATCTCCAATACATCCGTACAAGTTTTATTTCCTAAGAAAAGGTTTAGTCCTTTGAATTTATTTTCTTTTGTTTGTTTTCCATATTGAATCACGTATTCTTGCCTTTGCTAAGTCTAAAATGTATTTTTCTAAATACTCCGAAAGGACTTCCTTTATTGACACATTACTGAAACAGAAAATGAAAAAGAGTCATAAAATGATTCGCAACGACAAGGGAACAAGGAATGACAGGTTCATTTTATGTGTTGAAGGGCTTCCCAAAGTACATTAAGCTTTCAAAATATCTCCTTGTGAAAGATGATATTACAGAGAATGAGCAAATATCCATGGCCAGACACAGTGAATGCAGGAAAAAAATGGTATATACTTAAGTATCTAAAATCGAATCCAATCAAATGAAAGACGAATATCTAAAAATTTAGCGATTCCTTAATTGTAAAAACTATCTGCTCTTCTGCGAACCAGATCTCACCATCTCAGCCAAACTGATCATTACTGATGGCTTAAGACCAAAGACTAGTAATTGTGATGATTAAGATACTTGGAATGAAACAGTACTCCATCGTGGGATATTATAGGAAATGTGGTGCATCTTACAAATGTGCATAACTTGATTAACGAAAGACAGCTTAACCATATTAATCTGGCTATTTACCAGCAGTACAGACCAAACCGACCTGTCATGTGCGCCTCTTAGTACTCCCAGTGCTATGATTATTTGCTTTAAAGAAGAATTCACTTCGACAGGACTTGTTTGAGATTTCGTTACTTTTAATTTCAAGCAACGATTGTTCTGATCAATGAAGATGAGCAGGTCATCATATATAACTGATTTTGCAATAAAAACAGGAACATTAATGATTGTAAATCATCTTTTATATTTACATGTAAGTTCCAAAAGTGACTTGATTAGTTCGTTTTTACAATATTTGGCGGTAGTGCTGTCGTGAAATCTTCGTCTACAACGGAATTGCCTTAATATTGCTATTAACATCTGATGGAAATCTTTACTCTCGAGAACTTTAAATCATACAATACATAAAACTATTCTCACAACGATTAATTTTAACATAAACTTAATGATCACAAAAGTAATATGAATAAAAATTCCATATTTTTAATTGCAAATTAAAAATATAATAAGCCAAGGACATTTAAAAAGAAACAACTCCATCTAAGATATAAAGTGCCCCCGCTTTGTATTTGCACTTGATTGTGCTTTTCAATGCTATATAGTGTAATATCAGCTCCATAAATATTTTATATAGATTTTCAAGTCGAAGGGTGAGCTTTAACCATTCACTGCATGTAAAGTAAGCACCGTGGGAAGTAAGAGAAATATACTTCTTAAAATATTTCTCGTTAATATTTTCAAATAGATGCAACATTAAATTTGAATGCAATCATTTAAATATGAATGATTGGGGTTCAAGTGGGTCTGGATTCTAGAATTTTGGTCTGGAAATGTGTTCGACTCCAAAACGTGCCCTTGATGTTGTTTAATGATCTTTTTGTGCAAGGTTTATGAGGAATTTACAATTCATAAAAGATATCTCTTTTATAGACAGAAAGGAACGAATAAATTCATGACCTTGCACAAAGTAACCACCTTTAAACAGGCCTATACAAACATCAACATCATTGCGTCAACGCCATTGGCCTATGTGTCAAATATCAACATCATTGCGTCAACGCCATTGACCTATGTGTCAAATATTTTGTTCAATAATGATTCTCTGATTTATATGAGACAAGTTATTTCTTTCTCTTTTTTTTAACAATTTCCTCATTTATATATATATATATATATATATATATATATATATATATATATATATATATATATATATATATATATATATATATATATATATATATATATATATATATATATATATATATATTTGGGGTTCTTCAGTGTTTATTTTGTGAATACCAGGAAAATTGGCAGAATTATTAATTTACATCTAATGATGACAACGCATTAAGCGCTTATAAAATAAGGAACTCTGGAATGGTTGTGAACAAACCTGTTTAATCTCCAGTCAATGAGAAAAAAAGTCCATCAATTTTTGCAAATAGATAGTAATACACAGAGAGACACATATATATAATGCCCAGATAATTGTGTATTATATGAACAGGAATAGGCGTGGTGAAAGTTATATACATGAAATTAAATATAGAGATGACGAACAGTATTCAAGTTCATAGTCTATTTAAACATTACAAATCGGGAGCAGAGCTAACACAGACTTCCAAAAACACCAGAGGCGGGATCAGGTGCCATGAAGGAGTAAGCATCCCCTGTCGACCGGTTATACCCGCTGTATGCTCCTTGTCCATCGGGTAAACGTACAATATGTTTAAGTAGGATATAATTAAAGACTAAATATAAAATGAGATGGGTTTTATTACAAGTAAACAAAAATAAAAAATAGAGTAACATGTTAAACTAGATTGTTGCAAGGAGGAATGAAACAAATATGATGATAATTTTCCAACGTCAATATTTTATATTTAGTCCCAATATTAAATGACACCGTATTTGCTTGCCCTTAATTCTAAGATCAACTGAGTTTCTACTGTACATGTAAATGGTTTGTAAATTAAACAGGGGATAATTAAGGGGATAATTATGCCGTGATAATATATATAAAAAATATTATAAATCTGTTATCCCCCCCCCCCAAAAAAAAGCAAAACAAAAACATAAAAGGACTACTTCTTCGAATAAAATTTGAGAATAATCTCAAAATTAACATTTAGAGTCGCGGAGTAAGGAGCTGATCCTTACGTCGCGGGTTCGAATCCACTGCGGGACGTGGAGATCGGTTCTTCAGATGAGATCGTATAAACTGAGGTCCCGTGTCGCAGTAGGTGTTGGGCTGAAAAAGATCCCTCACTGCTCAATGGCCCTAAGGCCGAGTATAGGTATAAATTTGCAGCCCTCCATCGGCAAGTGGTTGTGTCTCCATATGACTGAAAAATTCTCGAGAGGGACATTAAACAATAAACAAACAAAATTTACAATAAAAAGGCTTCAGTATTTTGTCAAAAGGTTTAAATGTTTTCCAATGTTACTATAAATATAAAAATAAACACATGGAAACTCCAATAGTGAGTAAACAAAGCTGTTGTTATTGATAACTGGTTTTATTTGACATTTGCTGCAATACAATGCATAGAAATCGTATATCTTCACATAAAGAGTGGGTAAAATTGCAGCTTTGGTGAACAATTTACATTATACATCTTCAAAAAATATTAGTACCTTCCGTATAATGGCTTTGCCAAAGCGTACATGTTAACCAGCACAAATGACTATAACACAGTTTGCAAAAGTAATGTATAGATCAAGATGCAAAGTCTTATTCCCTATACCCATATTATATATATATATATATATATATATATATATATATATATATATATATATATATATATATATATATATATATATATATATCAACTAGAAGATGTCGTATGATAGTTTCGTGAAATTGATTTCCTATTACAATAATTCTAAAGGTTGTTAGGATAACTTATTCAATTTAGCATACATTATAAAAGTTGAAAAATATGTTCTTGCAAGCTGTTTTTAAAAGAGGATTTCCACAAAGTAAAGATCTATGTATGCAACGAATATATTTTAGGTATGCATCGTTTAGGAAACTGGGTTGTTTCATGTTCTTGTATGTCTTTAACAAAGAAACAAAAGCATTAATTGTTATAAATGTCTTTTACTTTAACATAATGGATTAATTAGGCAATCACAAAGGTTTTGAGTCTTAAGGTTAAAGCAAAGAACAATACACTTTAATCCAATAATGTGAAATCTGGCCTTTGAAGTTTGGGGGGATCCTAATACACAAACACATTTCACTTTCCTTTCTTTGGGGGATTAAACTAGATATTCTATTGTGAATTTCTTTTATCATAAGTAAGAATTCAATTAATTACATCACTGATGTATTTTTTTTTTTACTTTGTTTGGTATGAGACCGTGAGAACCGGAAATTCGGGTAGGATTGTAAATTAACACACACCTGACAAAGACATCAAACATTAAGTCCAAGGGAATGAGGAATTCTACAGTGGTTATGAACAAAACCGAATAAACTGCAGTCAATAAGGGAAAGCCTTTGATGTTTTTCCTTGGTGAATTCGTACTTATACAAGAAATACATAAAACGTGACCCACTTTAACGTATCAGCTTCATGCTGGAGAATCAAAAATTAAAAGTCAGGGGTTATGTCATGAAAATCATTGCAATGTGAACAGAAAAAAAAACCCAGACAAACTTATCAACCTTCCAGATGTCATGGGAAGAAAAAAAGGCATCATTTTTCGTATTATTTTATATTATGTAGATATATTTAAGTAAACTGCTTTCATTGTTCGTGATCACTTTCGCTTTTATATATATCCATTTTAAATTGAATTGTGTCTGTAAAGAGCTAAATTTCTTTCTTTTTACAATAGCGTAAATTCAAGTTTCGCAGTTTTGTATTACTGTGTAGAATAGGAAAAACCAGAATTGCCCGATTCATTGACATTCTGATTGCTTGCTCTAGTATTAGACCAATCGAACGTACAGTGTAGGCTGCTGAAATCTCTTGCTTTGAGTATCTACGGTTTACACAGTAAATAAAACAGTTAAGAAGGGATAATTGTCTTTTATGATAACAAAAACATAGTATAATACTGTTGTTTTAAAAAAACAGGGACATGTGCTCTACACTTGACTTACTACGTTTTATAATAAAAGAGAAAAAAATCGTTCGCTATTGATTATGAAATAATATAAACAATATTCCCTACTTGCACTATGCATATAAAATGATAAAAAGGTTAGAGATTATAAAAACTTGCAAAGACGACTATAGACAATGCTGTTTCCAAAGAATGAATGTATATTACCAATACTAAGGAGAGATCAGTTCATACGACGCAAACGTAAAAATCGCATAAAGTATCAGTAAATGAATTTCAATATCAATTTGTCAAACTGCCCTTCATATTAAGACACCAACTGTGCTGTCATTAAAAAGGAAAGGTAAACCACAAAACAAATTACATCCCAAGAAAAAAAAAATTCGTTTTCTTTGTGAAGCATTCTTTATAAGATAGAACTTTACAAAAGAAGATGCGATGCTTAATGTTAACTAAATTAATATTAATATTAGTAATTACTTCTTATATTAAAATATGAACAGTTGTCATATCTTCCTAGAGATAATCACATTCGCTGTGATATACTAAATTAAAATTTGAGTAATGTAGTTGTGTTTACAAAGCAGATAATATTGTACACACGACAAAATTCGGCCCACGAAATGACCGTAATTGAGGGATATCAAGCAATTCAGACAAAACTGACAGCCCTATTTACTTAGGATCATGTACGGTCTAATCCAATAATATGAAAATGGTGAAAAATTTCAAAGAAAAGAAACATTTCCTTACCTGCCCACGTTAAAGGATCTCACTCCAAGTTTACCAGAGGTCACGCTCATGCTTAGGTAACTTTGCAGGTGTCCTGTGAAATAAGGTTAATTACTGCAGTAATAATTGTATTGCTGTGGACAAGCTCTGGTTAATGTCCAGTAGGGATTGGTCAATGCGGTCAAATGATTTCTTCGTGTGCTGCAATCAAACCAAATAGAGGATAATTAGGAACTTTTAGGTTACCATCGTATAGGAACAAATTTATAGTGAGGCATATTTCAGTGATATTGAATGACGTCATCAATAAGATGACAATAGACAGATTTAAAAAAAAAAATTCTGCTTGAAAAATGACATTTATATTTGAAAGAAAATGCGCCCAATCATAATCGTTATTTTCATGGTCAACAAATATGAAAACATCAATAATCACACACACTTTTCTTTAACAAATTAATTAAACACTTTCAATATTATTTATTATAGCCTACATATTGTTATTAATAACCTGAAGCTAGGACAAGGTGTCCAATTAATTATAACGGCTCCACTTTCAATAGTGAACACACCTTCATTTTTGATTTGTATCGAAAGAGAAAGACGTAAATTAGAACAGGTAGCATTTCGATTTCAGGTCACCTAGTACGGCATTTGCAAAGTAACGATGTCATATTATACATTAAGCATTTGAAAGTCACAATTATACCTAATTTTACAAATTGCCTACAGGCATGTTCTATAATTTCATTGTCATTTAGTGATATGAGAGAAATGCATGTTCTCCGATTCAACTATTAGGTTTTCCCGGGTTGTTACTTGTATTTCATAAAGGAATTAAGACGTATAAGGCGAGAACAATCCCACGCTCTGAGAAAAGATATTTCTCAATTCTTAAAGTTCAGAAAAATGTTAGATTTTTCAAGAATCTGTTGTCAGTATCATCTTTCACACATTTGATTCATTTATATATGACCTAAAAACTACAGTGTATCATTTTAAAAGGTCCTAAACACAGGGAGCCCTGACTTTTCAAATGGCGACAGAACTTTACTTCTATTATGTCAGATTGAACTCTGCCGAGGATAATGCCAGACGATGGGCGAAATATGAAGGGAAAAACCTTCACACTTTGTCAGACTGGATTAAGTCTTTAAAAATATATTAAGGAATTATGTCAGGAAGTTAAAAGGCAATAACCATATAGCCTTCCGTTTTCACTAAATCGGAAGTGAAAAAAGAATTAGAAAGATTACGTATTAAACAATGCGTTCTGGTTCCAGCAAACAAGGCTTGTAACGATATCGTCTTTGTTTGTAAAGCTCATTATTAATTGTATTTTAGAACATGGTTTTAATTCTGCATCAAGTTCACATTGTTCACTTTCTAAGGATGAAATTCTTCAAAATCACACTTCAATCTTTAAAACTTTATTTTTTTCCATTCTAGTCAATGAAAGTGAGCTCGATATACCCTTAGATTTCTAAACTTCATAAAAATCCTTACAAACCAGGATACATCAATTGCCAGGTCCAGCAAATGCTCTACAAAGCCACTATATTCACTCCTAACAAATATATTAACTGCTGAAAAGAAGAGTCTTCAAACGCACTGTGCTACAGCATATTCGAGAAGTTGTGTAAATCAAATGTGCATTCTCAAAAATTCCAAAGAACTTTAAGAAAATTTTAAAATCACAAAACTTTTCAAAATCATTAAAATCAAAACATATAACTATTCGACACTTTATACGTTCACTTTATGATCGGGAGGCCAGGGTTCGATTTTCGCTCGCCGCGCCGCGTCAAACCTAAACGGTAAACATAGGTAGTGACAGTTCCTTCGCCAAGGACCCGGCATTATAAGTGAAAGTCACGGGTCTTTCGGATGAGACCTTAAAGCCGAGGTACCATGTCACGGTAGGCGTTGGCAAGATAAAGAACCCTCACTGTTCAATGGCCCTGAGTGCCGAATATAGGTCTAAATTTGAAGCCTTTCATCGTTATATGGTGACGTCTCTATATGAGTGAAAAATTCTCGAATGATAGGTTAACAAATATACTATCAATCAACACATTATACAACCATTCCTCACGATGAATTAAAATCTATGCTTTTTGTCATCGTAGACAACTGCTTCCTCAATAAAAATTGATCTCGGAAAATTACATATCTTATGATTGGTCATCTACAAAATTACTTTATGAAAAATCACTCCAATTCTACACATAGGTACTCTGAGGTACATGCATATAAGAAGGATGTTGGAGTTCCTCATTGACATCATCTATGTAGTCTTTGTAGACCATGTCTTCCAACAACCTGTTGGATATTCCTATGAAGCTAAAAGTGCTATTTCATTAGCCGTACTTCTATGAATCAGAATTTATTCAAAAACTTCTATATGTGAAGAAGAAAACACTTGCTGTGGCCTTCAACTCGATATTCAGATATATATTTCGACATCTATTAATAATAGTTACTTCCATTCATATGTCGACTAAATATATCCCAGTGAACTCGAAATTAAAGACACCACAGAGTCTGCCACATCTGTTTCATAGTTGGATGTTATGCTCACTATTGACGATAAAGGCCAATTAAAAACTAAAATGTATGACAACCAGATGACTTCAGCTTTTCCATCTTCAACTTTCCTAATTTATGTAGTAATATTCCACTATTACTTGCATATGGTTTTTATCTCCCATCTTATGCGGTATATATACTCAAGAGCATACTCTGAATATGATCCATTTTAAACCGAAGCAGGCTACTGACAAATAAGTTGATGTTACATGGATTTCAACAACCTCGTTTAAAGTAAGCATTTCGTAAACTCTGTGGTCGTTATAATGACCTTGTTAGCAAATACAACCTCTCATTGGGTGTTGTATTTTGACTGACATATTCCATACCACTTGTAAGGCCTTTGTTTTTATACTAAATTTGACTACAGAGTATTCTGTCTTCCTGATCACAGATTTTTTTTTAGATTAATCACTGTTCCGTAGCTTCACCTACTAGTATTTCATTGATTAGTTATTGATAAATAATTTATTTTTTGATTATATTTTTAAAGTATTTGAAAAGAAAAAAAAAAGCCTCACATATAATTTGAACTCTCTCCAAAGCTCACGATAAGGCATATTCTTAAACGCGTTTATCACTACGCAGCTACACGTGCGAAGTCTGCTGACAAATGTGTTAGTTTGGTTTAAAAAAAAAGTTAATTTTTTTTCAGAAATGCTGAACTTTCATGTAGAATGGGTTCAGATTTCATTTCTTTTAAAACATAAAAATGGATTTTTACATTCGTTTTCCCTTCATTTAAACATAAATTTTGAATAGAGACTTGACCCATTCATATTCAAAAATCATCTTTATGGTTCCAATAGAACCATTTTCTACTTAAAGTCATATATGGCGTATCTTTTATAAGTTCAGACTAACTAAAATTAAAAAAAATCTTTCTATTTGTTTTATTACTTTATATATAAAGATAGGATTTTCATGTAAATCACAAAATTTAAATCAATCACGTTTCAAAGATATTAGAAATTTAAAACAATAACAGATTTATTTACCGACTCCGCATTTGAATAACAGACACGGTTTAAAATCAATCAAATATGGGAACACGAGGTTATTCAAGTTGAAAATTGGTGAAAATTTTAATTTGAGCGTAAATAACATATATCATGTTTATCTACACTAAATCTCATGTTTTTATTTTTTAGCTCAGATACGCCATATATTGCTTAAATATGTTTAACTTTCAACTAATTATGTATCAATAAGTTATTCATGTGTAAGGTACACTGTGTTCAAGATGACATTGCAGAAAGCAAAATTAAAAAAAAATCTTTTCCATGGGTTTGAAATTTGAAAAATATATTATCTCACACCAGGGGGGGGGGGGGTCCTCGTCTTGTTCTCCACATTCTTTAGAAGGTCCCCCCTCTATTTCTGTATTTATGATCTCTCTGTAAATTCACCGATTAGTATATTTCCATTTATACGATGAAAAGGATGTATTTGTGCAAAGCACCAGGTATGAATTTGATTTTGATGATGATAAAGAGAAAGAGATTATCACGTGTCTAATCTACCAAAAGGAGCCCTCGAGTCTTGATTTCTCGCTCTTATCATACGCTCTTTTGCTCAAATAAACGCTTTTGGATGACTTAATGTACACAAACATTAAAGCAGATATATATTTAAGATAAGTCCATGAAAAATCACTCGAATTATCGAAGAGCTACATTGGGATATCATATAAAGTTTTTGAAACTTTTTTTTCCCAGTCGTATGGCAACTTCTAACACTCATCAAGATTATAAAGAAATAAAAATCATTTATCCGCGTGTTTCTGAATGAAATTTCCTGTATTTAGATTTACTGGGAAACATGGTATGTGGTTTTATTATTTTTTTTATTTTTGTGTCAAAAATGAAAAATCATATGTACTCAACATTTATACACTATGGTAACTATTCTGCCTTTCTTGTGCGTGTGTTTGTGTGTATCTTACTCAAAATAGTACCGCGTACGTTTACTTTTCCCAACAAATGATTCACTCATCGATTTAATGTCACGATAAAAATCTCTCTGTCAGAATCGTCTCCTTCAAATTCTTTATCTGAAGACGAACTAATTATATAATAAGCTTCATTTCTGATATATTCTTTGCACCAGCCAAATTTCTTACTGCATGGTAGCTACTTGCGTCAAACTTTTACGAATAATAGAAAATTTCCTTTTTTCTTTTTTTTTTTTGGAGATAAACATGTATAAATGTACGTGTATAAAATAAAAATATCATTAAATTGACTCTACCCTCATTTCTTTAATTTTCCAATCTCTGTGCCTTGAAACACTCGACACTAAATTTTTTGCAGGTATATAATTTCCAAAGAATGACATCTTTTTATTGACTTAAACTTAGGTTTGGCTCCTGCCATGGGTATATAAAGTTCACAAATTCGCTATAATTTTAATTCTTTTTCGTCCTGTTTCCACCAACAATTGCTTTTATTTATCAGTGCGCACGTGGTAAGTAACAGACAATGACCTTATAAATCCTCTGGCCATGCAAGACAAATGCTACTCTTTATGTATACATATATATCTATAATTTACACATAGTAATCGATTTACAACTTGAAAAATTACTCACCTCCCCAGCAGCAATGATAATAGCGACTGATCGTACTGATAACAGTGAAAATCTCTCCTTTTTTTTTTTTAATTTATACACACTTCATATATTCCCAGCCGTCCATAACATAGCCTAACCTCTTCAGTTTTCTATTCAGTAAGTGTGATGTTTGTTTTTGTTTTTGCGTTCTGGATTAATTTGAAGCAATTCTCAAAAACGTCACTCATATGCAATTATTTCGTGTTAGTTCAGAAGCCATTTTCTGGAGATAGGCCTTTACTCTATTTTTAATAATCTTTTCTCCTGTTGGTTTCTCTTTAACCTTTTGATAAAATGATAGTCTCGAGTTTTATTTAGAAACTTCACATATTTTGTTCTGATAAATTACTAATAATATGAATTGACACTCGTGTCCAAGATAAGAACTGCATGGAAAAATGTTCAATCTAAAAACTACAGAACTACTTTCTGAAATGATTCCAGTGCTGGCCATTTCATTTATCCTATGATTGTTTTAAAGTCAGAGTTTAGAGATGATGACTCTTTAAAAAAATTCATAAAGTTTGAAATTCAGTAACGAAAGTGATTTGAAACATATAAAATTTATATTCTGGAGGTATTTTGAACTATTATGCAGGTAAAGATTTAATAGATTATTAATAATATGCCATATGCGTATTTATTATACTTTCATGTTAAATACTAAAATCTGATTGGTTTAGACGCATTTAACAATCCGTAATGTTACCCTCAGCGTTAGCAACACACTTGACAACGGGTAACATTACGAAAATATCACATGCGTTCAAATCATGCGCGTACGGTTCACCGTAGAATTCTCAAAACGTCGGTTGTGCGTTTGAAAGAAGCCGAATAAACGACGTCAATAAAAGCTTGCGTCCGATGTAGCTTACTTGAAAACAACAAACGACAGACGAAACATCCTTGCGAGTGCAAACTTTAGATGATAAAGGACTTTTTGAGTAGCAAACAAACAATAGAGAGGTTGGTAAATCTTTTCCGAAGCTTTCTTATTGAGAAAAATAGAAGCGGGGAGTTTGAAAGCTTTCTAAGCGTGAACTTAACGACGATCTCCGATTTTTTTTTTTTTTTTATGACATCCGAAATCAATAAGACATTCAGTATAATAAAATAAATAGTGCACGTTTTTGAGGGTAACAGTTGAAATTGACACCCCTCGGAAAACCATTGTCAACCTCCGCTGACGCGTCGGTTGACAATGGTTTTCCTTGGGGTGTCAATTTCAACTGTTACCCTCAAAAACGTGCACTATTTATATAATATACATTTAAGAAGAAAGATATCATCTTTAAACATTTATCGAGATTAATTTACATTTTCAAATGTTTCCTCTTTATATCACTATTTGAGCAATGCATAAAATCAGGTTCGTTGTACACAATCTGCCCAGAAATTCATTTTTAAGTCATAAACAATTGATGCCATTTCATAGTGACGTCACAAGTGATAGATGTGTTTAACACATTCAATTTATACCGTTGAGGTTTGAAAAAATAAATCATATCATGTGTTAAAAAATGAAATATGGAAATATTTTTAACAATTCCCTATTCCTTAAATAAATATGGGTTGGTCAAGGGATCAAATACAATGATGCCCAACCCGTATTTATATATCGATAGATGTTTAACAATGATGCCTTATAACTTATATTTACATTTGTAACTGATTTAAAACAAATATTTGCGTATTATATCTTAAAATCAATCAAATGTTTCTTTTCAAACATCAGCAGCTTAAATTGAATGCGTTGAAGACGTCGACCACTTATGACGTCCCTGTGAAATAACGTCGACCGTTTATGACTTTACAATGAATTTGTGAATTTGTGGTCATGTGATGAACCTGTCAATATACAGTGATAGATACGTATTGCTCAAATAGTGTTATATAAGGGAAAATAGGGGTGTGTGTGTGTGTGTGTGTGTATATATATATATATATATATATATATATATATATATATATATATATATATATATATATATATATATATATATATATATATATATATATATATATATATAGCAAGTTTTTTGACTTGCCTAGATAGCTGAGCGGTCTAGCGCGCTGTTCCTGTACTGCTAGGAGACAGATTCCGTAGGTCGAGAGTTCAACCCCGGGCTGGGGCGGAAGTGAGTATCCTTATAAAAGTGAATTTCTTTGTGCTTTCTATATATATATATATATATATATATATATATATATATTAAAACGAAACCATATGTGTAATTCTTGTTTTGCTGTTCCTTGACCAATAGTCATCGCATACAGAGGTCAGTGTATAGCAATGGGAATAAAAGTTGCAATAAAATCTCCTATTTAACAAGGAATATTCGTGATCTTCAAGGAAATAAGAGTGATCCTTTATAATAACCTTACACTTGATATAATCCCAGAAAATCTCTGTAAAATTAAGATTTTGATGAGCAGGGGCCCTCCCTAATTCAACAGTAATAGCCTAGAGTAAACAAGAGATAATTTTCGTCGTCTATAACGGGTTGATGAGGTGACCTGCGATAACTGTACATCACTGTGGTAAAAGAATCTATAACCCACACACATGACGAAGTCTCGGTGCAGAGCATTTCACTGTTAACCATCTGTTGCAATTACGTACAGTGGACCCGGAAAGTGATCTAGACATGACACATCTATAATGAACAATCTTCACAAGATAGAAAGGAAGGAATGGACCATTTTGTAACACATAATTGTGGTCTACGATTAAAGCGGAAGGTTTTATGATCCTTTACGTGTTAAAATGATGGATAACTTTTTGAGGTTCTGTCTAACTTAATACATGAACTGATTAATAACTATGATCACACTAACTGGGAAACGTTTCAGTAGAGTAATATTATTTTTGAAACTTTTTATGAACACGCTGGGTGCAAAAAATTTCAATTACAAAATGAAATCTCGGAGAAGAAAAAAATACTGTGCATTCTCCCAATTTTATTGAAATTATTAAAACATTTAAACACATAAGCGTCATTTTGTAAGTTAAATCCTACTTGCAAAACATATTTAAATATTTTTATTCTTGAAAATTTCAATCCAATTTCTAACCAAAGTTAAGAGCGATTTCTACTCACGTGTGATGATGTCGTCTGCTTCAGAGCAGGTCACTGTCGTATGCTCCGAAAGACTGCTGTCTGCTGCAATGTGAAGTCAATACTAATGAATGCAAAGAAAATCACGATTAACAAGTAGCATGGGTAAACGGGATGCTAACACGTGGTATACTGTGACACAAGACAAGTCTATTCCATGGGTATTTATTGATTTGTTTTTGTTTCAAACAAAACCTAATCTGTCAAATGTTTTAATGATGTCGAGAGATGAGCAGGCGGAGGATACAGCATTGTTTCACTGTCCATGAACTTAAAGATTTTGCGAAAAAAAAGTTAAATTTCTCGCAAATTTCCAAAAAAAAAAATGGTTTGTTTCTCTTAGGCGTCTAATGTTTTATCTTTAAATCAGACTGTCAGAGATTGAAAGGCCAAAGTATAAACGGTAAAGACAATCTGTGATAATATAACTTCTTAATCCTGCCTTCTTCCGTGGGAAATGATCACTTGCTATCGAAAGTGCATCTCTTCAGATGCATCTAATCAGTAAAATATTTGCTATTTTTACTTCGTAAATTTTCAGCGATTTGGTCCACTTCATGCACTGATGCACCATATGCATCCTTTTCCAAGATAAACAGCGATAACCCTTTTATCCCCAATCTACGAAGAATTTTACTCAATACACACTGCACAATGCACATTGTGTTTTATCCCTGCTCTATAAATACCCAACCTAATGTAAGAGGAAGGATTCAAACTTCCTTTTTCCTGGAGTTAAAGAAAACAAGCCTCTCTTGTTCCACCGATACAAATCAAAAACTTTTTTTTTTTTCATAAAAAGCAAATGAGAAGAAATGATATCACCTCCTCTGAATCATTAAAATATTACTGGATAATTATCTTTCCGACTGATTAAAATCGGAACATCTGTTACAGTTTGTGATCCTATTTCACGGATCACAACAATCGGAATATATCGCTATATCCTCCTACAATTGGATCTTTCGTGACTGATTTCTATTATCTTCCGTATAACCTAAAATTCCGTCTACGTACAATCAAAATGCAAACACTGAAATTAGGTTAAAAATGATGCACATGAAAAAAAAAATGAAATCGGGCAATGTTGAAAATTTCGCAGACAAGATCAAAAGCACTTTTCAAGATTATAAATGGATTTCCATGCATAACTTTTTATAAAATAACATGTTTGGAGCTTGGTATTATACATGTATTAACTTTAATTCTCTGACTCCAGAACAATGTAATTTTTGATTTTTTCGTGATTATCTTCAGTTTCAGGAAGTTGTTAGTGTTTACGCAAGATGCATTTGATGAACACTAGCTGCAATTTCATATAGGAAGAAAAAAATACAGGTAACTCTTGATGGCTCGAACTTCGATCTCTCGAAGTTCTTGATCGCTCGAAGTAAGTCTCCGGTCCCGAATTTTTCCACTATATAACTAAGCAAATTTACTCTTGATTTCTCGAACTCTTGATCTCTCGAAACCCTTGATCCCTCGAAGTCAAAATGCAGTCCCGCTATGCAAATTCTATTAGAATTTACCCTCGATACCTCGAAGTGGCTATGTGTATGCAAGATTATATAATTAGCACCTTTACCTGGACATTTAAATGGCCACAGGCAGAAGACGCGGGTAAGAGGATGTTCATTCAGGTGACACTTATGCTGCAAGGTGATAATTGATTTATAATGAATCATATTTTGCCTATATGCTATTAAAATAATTATCATCGACTGTCTTACGATAATTCAGAGACGGAGTGTCTTTGAAAAGTGGTAATTTATTAAAAGACAAAACACTAATTTAATTTTTATTTCGAGTCAGTGTCAAAGTTAAACGAAATATGGAAAAAGCAGAAACAGCCTCAATGTCAATATGACGACTATTATTGGACAAATACTTACAGAACTGCGTTCAATGATCATGTTTGGAATAGTCAATGCTATGTACGACACTGTAAAATGTCGTTTTCATGTAACGAATGCGTAGTATGATGTCCGTATTACAAAGAATAAATAAATATACATGATATGACGATATAAATTTTTTGCTTTACTCAGTTTAATGAAATATTCATCTGAAATACGAAAAAATATCGTTGTTTTATAAAAACCACGTGTAAAAGGTTAGCACTGCATGAAAATCATTACATCCGGTAAGACTAATTTTAAAACCTGCAACAAACCCGGAAAATTCCGGACTCTTGAAAACTCGAACTCTTGATCTCTCGAAGTTTTTCCTCGGTCCCGCGGACTTCGAGGTTTCGAGAGTTACCTGTAGTATCAAATTGTTATTTCGAGTCATTTATCGAATAGTTTACTCTCATATATATTCTACATTGGTATATATAATAAAGATTATAAGGGAAAAAAATGGTCTGGAAACACGACAAGACGGATTGTTAAATTATGGATGACGAGATGGAACGGTTTGATTTTCTGCTACTTTGGGTCGTGGCAAAGTTGTGATGCTGTAAATAAATGCAATTCCAGTTCTGTAATAAAATGAACTCATTTCATTTGTTGTGAGATCGTGACTTCGTTTTTACTTCCTTAAAAAATTATCGGTTTGTAGATGCACCATGATGCGCCATGTTGGATAAATTTTGGATATTCGACGAAAGAGACGAGATCACGATAGCAACGACACATCGCGTGATTTAGGTTCTACATGTATAATGACTACCTTTATTTCGCCAATTTTGAATTTTTCAAGATACCCTTAAGCCAAAAACTTTAGCAGAAGAATAAAATTCAAACCACATTTCACATTAAGGTATCAAATTCTTATTTCAATGTTAAGATGACACCGCTGCAGCAACTTTCGGTTGGAGTAATAATATAACCGATCAAGAAAATTACAAAAAAGAAAAAAAAAACTGTCACAATTTTGCCTGAAAAGTGGCATATGAAGGTCGTTTGCCTTTTCATTATGATTGTTAAAATTTTGAAACTGAATAAACTAAATATTAAATTTATTAAAAATCATAATCTTATGATACAATTCCAGTTTTCGGCAGTATAGAAAAACAGGAAATGGTCTGTTGCCCCACGGCTAAAAATGCCGAAGTAAATGTCTTATGAAGGGTGTTTATTTTAAAAATTTTGGTTCAGGGATATTTTGTTCGAAAAATTTATTGATTTTGATACAAATAAAGTATAATCAAAACCAAATTTCATACTCCATTCATTTTTAGCTTTTCTTTGGTTATTACCAACTACTGGAAAAAAGTGATATCGTCTCTATTTTCTGAGCAAAGAGTTATCCTGACGTCTGTATCTTTCTATCGACTATCAGTTTGCAGAACCCAGAGAATATTGTCACTTCGTTTTCACAATAGTTTTTCATTCGTCCTCTCTCTCTTGGGAAATAGATCAATCAGTCCATTATTCAAGCAACAAAGTGGAATCCCTCGGCAGTTTTCCTTGTCAGAAACGATATTTTACCGTCAATCAGCACAAAATCGGAGGCAAGTTGCTTCTTGATAGATTAGGGCGAAATCAAAGGATAATTCATACGCAATTAAACTTGCAAATTTGTCTTTAAAAATCCCTATTAATAAATGGTGAATGCTTAGACATTTTTATGTGCCCTAATTAACTGACGTTCTAATATTAGACAATTCAACAATTTAAAAAGACATTATTCAGTTACAGTGTAAATAATTAGCTATACACAATCAATTCATGATAACATTCTTAGTTAACGACCTTGGTAACTGGTTAAGGATGAAAAAAACTTACCGTGAATTTTTGACGATGTAACAAAGTGCTTGTCAAAAATTTAGCTTTAACTCGATTTAATTTCTAAAGTTATATTTCTTACGATTAACCTAGAGCCATAACCCCTCTCCTGGGCTGAAAGAATTTGAAACAATATCACATTATGGACTTTGCTGTCAGCAGATAATAAAATCACAAAAACAAAACAATGGGCTATTCCACATGACTTGGATTTTCATTTTCAAAGAACGCAGAAAGTTATTCAAATGTGAAATGTCCATTATTTTATAATGAAAAGAAACTGTTAAATGCCGTTCCACTTACTTTTAGTAGAGCATGTGTTCTATCTGTTTCATCACATCGAGATCGCCGGAGATAACTATATCCGTTTGTTTTGTATACGAACAAAACCACCATGCAAAACACTCAATAAAATTTAAAGAAATCCCCTCTTCCGATACACTTTTAAGCGAATATACACCTCATCGAATATGGGAGAACGCATCATTTCATAGCTAGAAGGAGTCATTCAGTTTTACATTACAGTTTGAATTCTGTTCCAAAAATGTTTCAAGAACATCGACAGCTCCTATAGATAGTCTTAATATACACGCAGAACCAAAATAAAGCCCGAAGAAAAATATTATACACTGTATATGTAAATAAACCTTCTAAGAAAATATAGAGGTATCCTTTTCATTTTATAAAAGGGCAAGAAAGAAATAAAAAAAAAAGTCTGAAAATTCCATTATTATTTAATCTAAATGCAGATCACATGTCTTTAGTTCTTAATAGATTAAGTTACTGTGCGATCTGTCGTTTTTATGTGTGTCTGCCAAATAACAGAGAGTCTTGAGAGACATGTATTTCCGATATAAATACATTCGACATTCATAATCTTATCTTTGAGCTTTCAGATGAAGTCAAAGTCGTACATTGGGTTAATTGAGATCGCTGGGGAGGATATCTATTAGACTCCTCTCTGACAGTGGGGCTTTTTCCCTTTGTTAAAGGAAGCTGAGATAACGTCAACACCGATAAAACGATAAAAACGTTTTTACTTCATAAAAAAAATCCACAATAAACTAATTGCTAAAAAAAGAGGAAATAAATAAAATTGTTGAACCACATTGGTGTACAAATTCCTAACAAGAGGTACATGGGCCACAACGCTCACCTGAGTTCCCTCGGCCCTTCTGTTTTTCATCACAACATTTGAGGAAAATATTCTCCATATCATGACCCCACCCTTGTCCAAAATCCTCATGACTAACTAGTAACCTATCTTAAATCAAGACATCCTGAGATGCTTCAATATCTTTAGGACAAACATGACATTGCTGTTCTGCAGAAAAAGTAAACAATCACTATAGGTGAAAAATTCTCCCTCATTTTAGCCTTACTCTAAACCCAGAATCTATTATCTGAAGAAAAAATTGAATCCACACAGCTCTGGTAAATGGGATGAAGTATGTTATTAC